CAAACACCCTTCAGTGGCTGGGGGTGTTTGAAGGGGTTAGACCTCAAGTTAAGACTGTGATGAGTCATGTCACTCAAGGACAGCGCTATCTCCACCTTCCCATCTGAAGATCTACTGTGCGGGGGGTGAGGCAGTGGCCCAGGTTGCCCAGAGAAGCTGTGGATGCCCCATCCCTGGAGGGGTTCAAGGCCAGGCTGGATGAGGCTTTGGGCAACCTGGGCTGGTGGGAGGTGTCCCTGCCATGGGGGGGTGGCACTGGATGGGCTTGAAGGTCCCTTCCAACCCAAACCATCCTGGGATTCTATGATTAACGGACTTTGAGGCCAGGAACCACAATGATCTTCTCTACAGACCATCCCATTAGGTCAGCTCTCCTGGCCCCCACGCACCAGGCGTGTTCTCGTGCTGTCAGCAGGTAATGAGCAAAGCCAACCACAGGCCCTCTCTGCAGGGGTTAAACCAACAAACACGACTGCGAGCAGCTTCACGGAGCATTTTTCTGGCAATGCCTTGACCCCGTTCCCACCCCTTGTCCTGCACCACCTCCCTCCCCTCAAACCGCTTCGTCGCAAGCCACCCTTCTGGGTGGAAACCTCTCTCTTCGGAGCAAATAAGACCGGGCAATGAATAGAGAATTGTTATTATTGAAGAGAAAAATCAGTTCAGCTCTTTTGCTGGGTTTCTTTTTTTTTTTTTGAACATGCCAGCGAGCCCGCTGGAGGTGAAGGGAGTTCAGCCCCTCTGCGGGGTGGCAGCTTTCCAGCTCCTCATCTCGCTGCCCTCCAGCTCGTGGGCCTGAGCCCAGGCGATGTGAAACACAACGGGGTGTTGTCAGGGTGTCCCCGAAGGAGCTCACACACTTCATAACTCCGGCCTTAACTTTTACACAACATTAAGTGGGAGGCTGAGGAAATAATAGAAAAACAAGCATCATGGAAGTGTTCAAGCAGCGGAATGTTTTGCAAATAACTTTTGCACACACCCATGCATGGGCAGGAGCAGGCAAGACCTCAACCTTCATCTCCTGCCACCCACTCCTCCTCCTCAGCAAGGACCATCTGCATGGTGACATGGTTGGTCCCTTCTGGGACTTCCCACTGATGTGTGGGGTACGGGGGGCTGTGGTGGGACTGGGCAGACTGGGTTTGGATGATGCCAGCTCAGAGTGCCAGCTGAAACCCCTGCATCTTCCTCAGATGAAGACGAGGACATTCAGGTGTCCCCATCCCCTACCTCCCTCGATCCCAGGCACCATCCCAGTGGTGGGGATGGAGGGGTCCAGTGGAGGACCAGTGGAGGGGGCCTCCTGTGCCACAGCAGGGAACACCCACCCGCACCCCTCCAGAGCAGTGGGAAGGAATTTGGGGATCCAGGCACAACCAGCTCCAGTCTCACCAGCAAACCTCTCTGCATCCCTGGAGCATCTCCTCGACCCAGCCTGTTGGTGCTACACAGCTCCAAAAAGGCATCAGAGCATTAATCCTTGGGTCACTCTGGATGACGGCTGTGTTGGCTGGACAAGTCCTTCCCTCCAGGGAAAACCCAGCCCCCAGGTGACCTGCTGCTTTTTGAGGGAAGTCCAGAAATGGGAAGAGGGACAGAGACAAGCAGGGAAACTTGGTCCCAGAGCCACCAGGGCTGAGTCCTGAGAAGGATCTGGATGTTCACATTTCAGCAGCTCAGGCGCATCCTAATGAGCATCTCCAGAGAGGTGTGTACACTCCTGGCTTTCAGTGTGCATATTTTGGGTGTTCAGGTCTAAAAATGAAGAGGGCATCAACCTCTTCGTGAGTGACTCACCAGAAAAATGCTGGAGGTTGGCTCCCCAAAGCCAACGAGCTTCCCACGGCTCCTTCGCCCACCCCACCCACTCACATGCCTCCTCCCAGCCCACGGGATGCTCCAGATGACAGGTGAGCCAGCACACACGGTTCCCCAGCTCGTGGGACAAGGTGTGTGACCACCACATAAAGCCTGCACGCTGTCACGGCTCAGGGGACCGTGTATGCAAGTTCCCCAGCTCGTGGGACAAGGTTTGTGACCACCACATAAAGCCTGCATGCTGTCACGGCTCAGGGGACCGTGTATGCACATTGCTGCAGCTGGGTCACTGCACTTTTGTGCAACGCAGCACCTCCGGTGCAAAATGCAACTGGCAGCGGTACGAGCGGCTGCATTACCCATGAGCGTTGCAACCCTGGTCCTACACCTCTCCTCCCTTCTCCACGCTTCCTCTTCTTTCCTCTTGTTCCAGCTCCCTTGCACCAGCGGCAGGGAGGTGAGAAAAGAGGAGCGCAGCAAGCGTTGCCTCCCTGCCCCGCTCCTCCCAGATGCATTTTTGCATTCCCACCGTAACTCCATCAACACATTAACACACACCAGGAAGCAGAAGGTTTCAGAGCATTTCATTGGTAACCACAGTGCATTTTGCATTATTGTATATAAGGCATAGACAGGTGATACATACATCCTCCAGCCATTTCACACCCCTGAACAACAGGGAGCCCCAGGGAACACTCGATACAGGTCCTACCTCCTGGCTGCCTTTGGTGGAGAGACAGAACCAAGCTACGGAGGGCTTACAGTCAGGGAAATGGATGTGGCTGTTCAAGCAGCAATAGAAATGGGATTGAGCTGGTGTTTTTGGACACTCAGACCTGCTTTTACCCACCACAGTCCCACAGAGTCTGCAGCCTGGACTGGGAGCACAGAGGATGGCATGCAGGGACGGAACCCTTCCCTTATCCTTATGCAGTGGGATGCCCTGGATCCTGCTCTCCCATCACCAATGACCCATCCTGATTTGCCAAGGAGGAGCTGATGGTAAGTGCTGGGGAATAAAATATGGTTTCTCGTTGGTAGAGGCTCTGGAGAGGTAAGACACGAGTGGGTTTTGGTAGGGTGGTTGTCTCTGCTGGGATAGACAGTGGTTGTTGCCATACGATGGGTGATGAGCATCCAGATATTTTTGCACTCAAGCATGGGTTACTCATCTCTCTGGGGGTCTTGGCACCAAGATTTACTTTCTGAAATAGGTAGGGGTCACAGAGCCATAATGCCAAGATGGGAAATTTCACAGTCTCTGCAAACCAAAGCAAAGAAATGAAATATTGGGGCCTGATTTCCCACCGCGGATAGGAGAGCAAGGCACACCAGCGCTCAGCAAAGATGTGCAGACCCCCCCCAGCAGCACTGGGTCATGGTGGAGGAGGCGTGAGGACCAACCACACCAACATTTTCATAAAATATAAAACCCAAAACTCCTTAAGAAAGGTGCAAACACCAACAACTTCTGTCCTCAGCTCACCAGATCCTCAGGGAGAAGGAAAATTTGACCAAAACCTGTGAGTTTGATAGTGGCTAATAAATGGGGGTGTGGATGCAAATGAGGTTGGGAGACTTTTAGGGAAAAACTGAACAAATGCAAAAATGAAGCATTTAACTGTGCTGGTAAAATGAAACGCCCAGAGCCAACCTCAGAGCTCACGCTTTTGGGACAGGGATGGAGGATCAGCCAAGCCCCAGCAGCAAGGACAGGTTTGGAGAGCTGCACGTTCTCCGTGTCAAAGCCACCATCGTCACACGTGGCAGCGGGCTGCCCCGTGCAAGCTGGGTGCTGTTACAGTACAGAATAACAGGGGATTCAATGCTCAGCGCATCGCATCCCCATCCAGCAAAGCAATTAGGCGTGTGTTTTATTTTATTTTTTTTTTTCCCTTAGTCCTCTGCTAAGCACAGGCTTAAGAGCTTTGCTGGAGCAGGGCGGGAGCTTACATTAGCACAGTTTGTCCTGAGAAACTCTGATTCCCCAGGATCACTTTTCACTGCTACTGGCTCTCACACGCCACGCTGAGCAGCAGCAGCTCCAGGGGACAAATGAAACCATGGAAGACATGTCTCATCCTGCTTGAAGGGTGGGAAAGATTTATTTATCGTCAGAAGGACCGTAGCAAAAGCCAGACAGGACAGCTGTCTCTCAAAGGGACTTTTCATGCTTGATGCCCCTGCTCTGGGAGATGGCTCCTTGCAGGATGAGTGTCTGCAGGATGAAAATCTGAGGCTGATGCTATTTTGATGAGCATCCTCTCACAACATAAACCAGCGCTACAAAACCCTAGAAATCCCCTTAGCCCACCCCTCTCTGTCTGACTGCACCAGCAGAGAGACAGACGGGCAGGAGGAGGGAACAGAAAACAGCAGAAATGTCCCAGCACTGCCACCCCAGCCCTGTCACAGCTGCCGTTTGCTCGGCAGGAGGCTGAGCAAGACCTGCAGGATAATTTGTTTGCAAAGCAGAAAGCCCAAGTTCTGCATCTCAGCCTTTTCCCTGCAACCTGTGTCTCATGGTTTTGTTTTTTTTTTTTGCTCTCTTTGGAAAAGCAAAGGATCAGCCCAGGGCATCCGGCTGCGCAGCACGTTTCACCACCAGTACACTTTATACAGCTATAAACCAGGTAATACACATTGCACAGAAAGGAAAACCGAGGCGTGTTCAGAGTGCAAAGAGAAGCGTGCTCAGAGCCCGAGAGGCTTTGCCCTGCCTGTGCTGCCCACGCCGGCAGCCCGGGACTCCTCCGCTAAGGTCTGCAACATCTCCGTACGCTCACAGACCAGAGATGGAAAGGTCCTTTTCTCCCTCAACCTCTTCAGTCTTGCACTGGCAATTCAAGCTTTACACATCAGAGCAGCTTAACAAAAAAAAAAAAAAAGAAAAAAGAAAAGAAAAAACAAACAAACAAAAAAAAAAGACAAAGAAGTAAAATAGGAAAAATTTCAGAACAGGTTTTTTTTACATGCTGCTTCTGAGGTCAGTGCTGTAGGTGGGATTCTGCATACGGCATCAGGGTGAGTTGTATCTTGGTTTTGGCAGCAGCCTAGGGTCGGAGAGAGGCTGGTCCTTCTCCATCTCCACCTGCTGGTGTGATCCAGAGCAGAGCCACAAGTTCTTTCCCAAATCCCCAGGCAGGCACCGGACCTTTCAGGCGTTTCCCAGCACAGCTTCAGCTGAAAGGTTTCACCAGTTTCATAGCAGCGTAGTTCTAGAGGGACGGAAAAACAAGGGCAAGAGAAGCTGATGGGAAGCAGGTACAGCAGGGTGCCACGGGGGGGTTAAAGGATTTTTGGGGCATGGCGCAGAACTGCAGACAGGGCTGCATCTGGGGCAGGCGTCATGGCCAAGCTCCCAGCCCCAGCCTGCAGAAACAAACAAGAAAAAACACATTCCCACTAACGAGGATGTTAGAAAGCTCAGAACATGTGGGAAAACAGGTCTTGCCTTCTCCCAGTAGGGGCTACTGGTCACCAACACCAAGCAGCGAGCACCAGGAGTCACTCCTGGACTTTGATTGCTCCTTCCACCAATTTTTATGATTAATTTCCACCTTGTAAAAATTTTGGCACCTCCCCAGCAGCACCAACCCATGCCCACATGTCTTTCTTGCAGGTGAGGAGACACATCCAGCTCTTTGCTAGGTTGCTCCAGCCCCCCACAGCCTCTGCATCCCCCTGCCCCTTCCCCTCTGCTCCCTTTCTGCTGCTCCCCTCCAAACCCTGGGGCTCCACTCACTGCCCAAGCCCTGACCTCACATTCTTACGGCTCCTTCTCCCCACGATCCCCCCAAAACTGGTGACCTCCTGTCCTGGGTTCAGCTGGGACAGGGTTAATTTTCACACAAGCTGGGGGGTGGGCATAGCCAAAGGGATGTTCGATACCATGCTGATGCGGTGGGGGGTTTTGTGGGGGGTTTTGAGGTCTTTCCATTGTGTTCATTCTATAATCCTGTTTATTATCTTCTCTTTTTCTTGTGTTGTATTATTAAAATCTGTCGTTACCTCAACTCATGAGGTTCCACCTTTTTTTTTTTATCCTTTCCCCCATCTTACTGGGAGGGGGAAAGGAGCGACCACGTGGCACGCGGTGACTTGCTGCTCGGTCCTTACCCACGACACCTCAGCATTCCCAAAGCTGGGCCATGGTGTTTTCTGGAAAGCACTGCTTTCCACTGGCCAAAACCCACGCCCAGCAACCATAGACTCACAGAATGGGTTGGGTTGGAAGGGACCTTAAAGACCACCTTGTTCCAGGCCCCCCATGCCAACCTCCCCCTAGCCCAGGTTGCTCAAAGCCTCATCCAACCTGACCTTGAACAGAGCCGGTCTGAATACCAAGAGGATGGTTCTCAAGCCCTGCCCCATCCTGGTTTAGTCTTTTAGTACAAACCTCGCCTGCAAGTCCATGGACTATCTCCAAAGAATCTACCAAAGGCAACCAAAAAAGGCAAACCTATTGCTGATTTATTTATTTTTTTTTAATCCCTAACGCCTCCGCCATCTGTCTCAGCATCAGCCCTTGGTGTGGGTTTTTCCTCCCAAGAGCAGGCACCCCAGGCAAGACCTTCCTGTGCCTGTTTGCTGGGACCTCTACCGTCCCTGTTACTGCACGGTGAATTATGGGGCTGCCACGGAAAATGAGGTGTCACGCTATTTTATCCCATTAGACGCGCAATTCCTTCCTTGAAAGAAGATGACAGCGCTGCGAGGAAGAATAAGCTGTGTGAAGGCTGCTTATCAAGCCCACAAGGAAAATCCAGACAAAGATGCATGCTTAGGTCATTTGGAAAGAGTTCTATTTAAAGTAGCTCTGATTCAAAGCCCGGCGACCGCATACTCGCCAGTTTGGAAGTCCCTCCCGAGCATATTGTATTTAATTGGTACAGGATGTTCTGTCACTCTGTCACTTTAAAAAAAAAAAATACAAAAAAAAACCAACACAACTTTGGAAACAAAGCATAATGCTGGTTACCAGTGAGATCTTTGGAAGATCAGGGGGAAAATAAAGGAACAAAAAAAACCAGAAGTAAAGTCTGACCAAAGGCATCCTGATAAATTACGTGGAGCAAATCACGAGGCTGTTTGCCAATTGAGGATTTCTAATAATGCCATAAATCACGTAAGCAAAGTGAGGGCAGCGTACCAGAAGTCATTAGAAAAGCCTCCAGTGACATATAACCTTCGAATTAATTACCCATCCATTTGTCTTTTGGAGCCTCTCCTCCAAAAGGCTCCTATTTTTTTGGGATTCGACCAGTTGCATTCTGGAGGGTAGCGAGTTTTTCTGTCCAGCTCTGAATCCGTATTAACGAAGTGCTGAAAGCCAAGCAGGATTATCAATCAGCGCAGAAAGCCAGCCGTAATTAGAATTAATGGCAATGGAAGCAACGCCGGGCTTGCAGAACACAAACAGAGCTTTCAGAGGTAGTAAACATTTGCACGGTGCTGCGAAGCGGAGCAGAGGCCAGCTGGAAGCAGCGATACATTTTTCTATGGTGGTGGCCACTCAAATCTTTACGATAATCACCGCTCCGGGGAGATAACTTCACCATGGTGTTCCCTACGCGATATGGATGCAACAGCCCAGGCTGGGCTTTTATAACCTTGACCTCGCGTCTAGCCCAAGCCTTTCACTCAACCATAGGCGATGCTCTTCGCTATGGCAATGTTGGATGGAAAGTCCATCAAAGTCACTGGACCTTTCCAAAAAGCTGTAAATGAGCACGGCTGGACAGGAGCACGGGGTGGAACTGGAGCATATCTTGTAGACATTCAAGCCTCCAGCAGTGATGAATTCACCACGACCTTTGGCAAATTCTTCGAATGGTTAATTGCCCTTCATGTCAAAAATGAGCATCCTATTTCCACTGGATTGGTTCCCCCCACTTCAACATCCAGCTACTGGATCTCATTATATTTTTGTCTGTTGTTTAAAGGAGTCCTCTGATGTCAAGTTAAATCTAAGGACCGTCTAAGGAAATTGTATAGGAAATATCCCAGGAACGCCGCTCCCGGAGTCCCAGCTCGTACAGACCATAATGCCAACCACCCTGCAAGGAAAGCGAAGGCAAACCAGCCAGTAATCAGACACTAAGAGTGGGTGGAAGAGCCCAAGTAAGAAAAAAAAAAATTAAGAACCTCAGAATATCAGATTGTCAACATTTTTTCCCCATTTTCATACAACTAGACAACATTTTTTAATGGCAATTTGCAACACCGTGCAGTTTTCCACCCGAAACCAAAAGGATTTTCTGTTGGAAATGGCCCCTCACCCAGTAAAACAAGCTGCTCTGTAAACAGTTGTGCTAACGATGACTGATCTCTTATGGACCTCTGCCTAAATTTCCTGTTCTGCAGTACTCCCAGCTCCCCACTGGTCCTGCTGAGCCCCGTCCTCCTCATCCCAAAGCACCCCCAGACCCCTCCCCACTTCTGCAGGTCTCCCCCTGGTCCTTCCAGGGACCCCAGGTCCCACCACGGCACATTCCCTGGAAAGTTCTCCTGGGAAAGAGACTTTGAAGAGGAGCCGAGAGGAGGAACGGGAAGATCTTTTTTCCATCCCGTGATCCATCACACGTACTCCGTGTCCTAAGGATGAGGGTAGCACGAAGGCACCACATCTCCAAAGGTTTCTGACTCCATGAAGGAGCTCTAAAGGCACATATATTTTGCAGAATATTTGCATATTCGATTTTGCAGAATATTTGAATATTAGATTTTGCAGAATATTTGTATAGTAGATTTTGCAGAATATTTTGTTTCTCCCCTCAACAGGCAAAATACTTCCTTGGGGTGTAAAGTATCTCATGATGGGTATTCTGAACGAGACCAAGACATCAGCTTCTTCGTTTTCACTAAAAATCCTGAGCTTTTGGGGAACACTGATTTTTGGCCACTACTCTTGGGAACCACAGACAGCCCTTCGCTGCTCTGGGTGGAAGCACTCGGCTTTCCAATGTGACATTTGCTCTCACTTTCCAGCTACCCTGACCACAAAGCCAGGACTGCGGTTGGAACATTTCAGCACTATATGGGCAATAGGAATAATTTTTTTAAAAAAAAATAAATCCTATTTTTATACCAAGAGCCAACGAAAATGCCCTGGGTTTGGTTTTGGGTGAGATTCCTGTCTGTCTGGGACGGAGGGTGACCTGTGCAGGGCATTCAAGGTGCAGGCAGGGACATGCAGGGTGCAGGCAGGGACACTCGGTGCAGGCAGGGACACTCAGGCTGCAGGCAGGTCCCAAGGCTCCTGCTGAGCCCAGGACCAGCTGCTGCACAGCCCAGACTGGGAGGACGCTGGAGGTCCCAGTGCAGGTCCCAACCAGCAGAACGCTGGGGCCATGCAAGTCCATGGCAAAAAGGGAGACAGAGCAGGAAAACAGTAACTCCACCTCTGGATGCACCTTAGCATCCTGTATCCCTGTGCCTGCCCAGACTGATGGTCCATGTGCCCTAACAAGATTCCCTTGAGGTTTCCTCCCACCACCCACCCCTTTGCCCTGGATGAGGGGGACAGGACACCCACAAAACCCTCCACCTGCAGCGTGGGACCTCACAAGTGCCCATGCAGTGGCAAAATTACAAATACAGCACTGAATGCAGTAAGGTCCCTATTTTAAATGGGAGCTGATGGTGCTGCTGGTACACTAACCAGAGCAGAAGAATGGAGGGATTGGTTTTCCACGCATTTCATCAGGGATGTGATGGGGAGCCCTGCCAAAGGTCAGGATGCCAGGGGCATCCTTCAGAGCAAACCACCAGCAGCGCCATTGCCAAATTTAGTGCCTAATGAACCAGGCAAGGAATGAAATCCCCCGGAAGATACAGAACCAGGAACCTCAAAAATCTAGGGGACGCCGGCCAAATACATAAAACCCGAGAAATTCCATGAAACATGGTCTCGCTTTTTCAAAATATGACTAAAAATTGACCTGACCAAAATGAAATTAAATATGACAATATTTAGCCAGGAAACAGGGAAAAATCCACAAGTAATAACAAGTGGAAATCAATATTTATAGTTTGTGAATTTTTTTCTCCTCTCCACGTTGTTTTTCTATGATACCGCTGGAACGAACGCAAAGCCACTCGCATCTTTAGGGAAACACGGAGTTCTTCTCAGTGGAAAAGGCTCAGTTTCTGCTACGTGACCCAAAGGGGATTCTCCAGGAATGGCTCCAAGGACAGGGCAGGGAGGAGGCAACGCAGCAGAAACTAGCACTCACGCAATTATTTCCTCCTTCGTACTTCTTAGCACCTTTGGAATCGTTTCTCCAGCAGGAGAAGTGTCCCAGCCCCTTCCCATGGATATGGGGATAGAGGGATGGGGAGAGCCATGATCTAATCCCATCCCCTTGGCTTTTTTTTTTCCTCGACAGGAACAACTGAGTGTGCACGACTTCAAGTCATCTGAAAGCCATTACGACGGCAAGGAGAAATTCCACACCTCGCTTTTCGGTTGCACGTTGCAAGCACACAAAGCCATCTGCAAAAGGCAGCCACGTTCTCTCGCATGGAGTTATAAATTACCCCAATGAGTTCTTTTATTTAAAAAAAAAATAATAAAATCCTATACAAGGAGCAGAATTTGTTAAGTGCTGGAAAGCAAGAGGCGGGTCATTTTTCTTATCAGTCTGGGAGGAGGGGAAATGGCATTTGAGAGCCAGCATGAATTATTCCAGTTCTGTCGAAACAGAGGAGGATACAAAAACCCATCCCAAGCCAAACTGGAAGGCCAGGGCTCCATTATTTATTTATTTTGCTTTGCCAGTGGATCTGACGGTCAGGGAAGAAAAAGCCACTCTCCTGATTAATGAGGTGAAAACGCTCCCCTTGGTTTCAGACATTACATGGGTATAACATGCTCCAAGCCTTGATAACAAGACAGGGCTGCCCAGACGCCTGTAAACTCTCCTGCATCTTTAAACAATTACAGACCGATGTGGTTTTTGCCACCGCTCAGCCCTGTAAAATGGCTGTGTTGCTATTAGGCTGCGTTGCTAATTAGGCTGCGTTGCTAATTAGGCTGTATGCTTCTCAGGGATTTTCCCACCAACCCTGCAACACCTCCGACATCAGGTGCTCAAACCTCTTTGAAAACAACTAATTAACCTCCATGTCATTAGACGTAAATTTAAAAAATGCGCACAAAGACATTAAGCACCTCGCAGTGACCAGAAACACAGACTTTTTTTTTGACCCACCGTGGTCCCCCAGGTTGTTCCCCAGGGACCAGCATGGGACTTGCACTGGGACCATCTCCACCAGCACAGAGGTTGGTTGGCCAAAGAGACCTGGAAGAACACCTAAGACCTTGGTCACCCCCTCCAAGACTTTGGTCACCCCCTCCACAACCTTGGTCACCCCCTCCAAGACCTTGGTCATCCCCTCCATGACCTTCACCCTCTCCAAGACCTTGGTCACCTCCTCTAAGACCTTGGTCACCCCCTCCAAGACCTTGGTCACCCACTCTAAGACCTTGGTTATCCCCTCTGTCCTCTCCTGCACCCATCATACCGGGAAGGCGTAGATGAAGATTCCCAAGAAGAGCAGCAAAATGAGGAGGACAATGGCCAGGATAACCACCCACTTGTACCGCCGCCACAGGATGTACTTCAGGGTCTTGTACGGGGAGGTGAACCACAGGAAGGAGGTCTCCGGGCGCCTGGAGCCAAACAAAGTTGAGGTCACTTAGAATCACAGAGTCACACAATGGTTTGGGTTGGAAGGGACCTTCAAGATGACCTAGTTCCACCTCCCTGCCATGGGCAGGGACACCTCCCACCAGCCCAGGTTGCCCAAAGCCTCATCCAGCCTGGCCTTGAACCCCTCCAGGGATGGGGCATCCACAGCTTCTCTGGGCAACCTGGGCCACTGCCTCACCCCCCGCACAGGGAAACATTTCTTCCCAATATCTCAGCTCAATCTCCCCTCTTTTACCTTCAAACCATTCCCCCTTGTCCTATCACAACTTTTTCACAACTAGTGAAACTCCTGAGTTTCACTGTAGTTTCACTGTAGTTTCACCCTCCCGGATCCCCATCCCTCGGGGCAGGCGATGTCAAACGCCCCCCTTGGCAGCCCAGACCAGCCTCCCAGCCACCCGGGGTCAGTCTGAGCATCAGCCATTCAAAACCAGACCCTACACTGGAGCAAGCCCATTGCAGACAGCAGCCCTCAAACTGGGAACCCAGAATATCAATTTGCTCCTCAAGAACTCTGTGCCCCAGCGGTGACTTTTCCATTCAAAATGCTCTTACTTGGGGTCCTCCAGCTTGGGATTCATGTTTGGCTCATCCCGACCCACGCCAGCTGGCCGCTCTTCATGCTCCTGCTCTGCCACAATTTCCAAAGTCATCTCCAATTTGCCCTGTGGGGGTTAAACAAAAACAAACTTATAGCAAAGTTTATGTAACAAACAAAACTACACTAAATGAAACAAAACAAAACCAAAAAAAAAAAAATATAGGTGAGAAATGAATGTATGATGCAAAATACTTAACTGGGGAAAGAAAAAGTACTTTGAGCACAACCCAACCACCACCAAGGACCATGAGGAGCTCGGTAAGAGTGGATTTCATACGGATCCCTCGCCTGCCCACTACGATGTTCTCAGCAGATACTCCAGAACATCTCAGATCTCACTGACACCTAAGGTTAGGCAACAGACTCAGGGGTCTTTTGTGGAATGACTTAATTCACTGGACTCCCTTACCTGTGTTGAGCACTTGCCAGAAATTTGCACAGGAGCCTAGACACTGACATTTGAATCTATCAGTCTGATGGCTGAAACCTTTCCCTGGTGCTTGTCACCACACCATATCATTGAGAATAGATATGATACAGAGTCAAATTAGGTGGCATGTTCCAAAAACCACAGCAAAAATCCCACAGACCAAATAATTTCTCCTGAGGCATTTACACGGTGCTGGACAAATCCTGGAAAACATCCAGCTAACAAAACCTGGTCCACTTTGTAAAATTTGCAGCCCAAGACTACCATTCTTGCCCTGACCATGGCATCCTGCACGTGCTTGGCCCAGCCACACCCCTCCTCAATGCTCCGAGTTCCCAAAAGAAGACATGAAGAGCTCATCTTACCGCCAGGATCTTCTTCTGATCCTGCTCAGCAACACAGGGCCACCATCCCTTGACGGTTTTCTGCTCAAAGAGTGACACAAAGTGACTCGAAGACAAGGTCTCATCTACTAGCTCCAAGGAGCACTTCTCAGCGGTCTTGGCAGGTTTGGGCATCCTGTTGAGATCCATCTGAATGGAGCCTGCAAGGAGGAACGTTACTGGGAACACATCTCAGTGGAACAGGTCCTTAAGACATGGACTCTTACCCTGCCAGGACAGTCAAGGACTTTCCAGCTTCTCTGCTGTGCCCGTGTCTGCAGGGGCAGGAGGAGCTGGGAGGGAGCACAGCCCCAGTGACCAGCCCAGGATTCGACCTCAGGTTTAGGACTGAGACCCAAACTGGTCAATGGTCTGTTCCATACCATGCACGTCATGGCCAGGATACAGACGAGGTTCTGCCCAGAAGTACTCTCTCTTTCCGGGTCATCTCGCTTTGGGTGGTCCCTCTCCCAGTGTCTTCTCCCTCCCTCCATCAGCTGAGTGTCCCTCGGACACTCAGGCTCTTCTCTCCATTCCGGGATTGTGGTTTTGAGACACTCCCTGCTCCAGGATTGTTGTCCAGGAACGGGCTGAGCCTTGGTCATTGGGTGGTGAGCAGTGTCACTGTGTGTCACTCATTTGTATATTTGTATATATTATAATTATCATTATTTTCAATTTTAATGTAGTTTATTTATTAAATTGTTCTTATCTCAACCCATGAGTCTCTTTTCCCTTTAACCCTTTAATTATCTCCCCCATCCCCAGGATCGGGGAGGGTGAGCAAGTCGCTGTTGGGTTTTGGCTGCCAGCCAGGGTTGTGTAAAACCACAACACTTAGGCAGCTCTAACATTGGATGATTTGCACTGAAGCCAAACAGGCAGGCTAAGATTTTTATTGAAGACTAAGAGATTTAGGTGAAACTCAAATTGTACACACCCAAAGCCCAGTCAATACAAGAGCACTGGGCAGGAGGCTCATAGATCTCCAAAGAGGCTGTTTTATTGCCCCAGCCAAGTCAGCGATTGCAGCAGACTAAATATGAAGGATATCCCACAAAATTGATAGCTTCCGTCTCAGTCAGAGTGACTCAGTAATTAGCACATTTCTCTAACATTTAGGAAATCTGAGCTCAGTTCTCCAAGTGTTAGTTGGAAGTGCCTGTATTTAATTGACATGGCTACACTGATTTACTTTATGGTTGGGAACAGCCACAAACATACACAGGGTCTGGTCCCGTGGCTCAGTGGAGGGACGGCAGCTTTCTACACAGCTCTGGATGACTCACGTTCCGTTTTACCCTTGTATTTGCAGCTTTTCTGTGCCACGGTTTCTTGCAACCAATGACAATGACAGCACAGATTGGATTTGTTGTGAAACATCTTTGATGAAAAGTGCTTTACAAAAGCCAAAGACTACTTTTGTTTGTTGGAATTTGTAAAAAAAAAAGAAAAAAAAAAAAGAAAGAAAATTGGCAGTCAAAAGCTCGTGATGTGCAGAGCCAGAACTGGAAAACACACCTTGGAGAGGTTATTTCGACACTCAGCCTACGTAATTAATCAAAGACAGGATTGAAAAGGATCTTGATCACATACCTTCTTAGTGAAGCTTTTGATGTTCAAATTTTTTTTAGTGGCTGAAAGAAATGCAGAACAAGATACACCCAAAATCTCATCATGCTGGAGCCTCTAGCTCCTGCACAGATACTCTGCTGCACGGTGCTGCTATCCTTCCTTATGAGAGGCTTTTGTTTCATTTTTTTCTTGGCCTAAACCTAGGCTTCTGAAGACGATGAATGAGGCTAGCACTGAAAAAGGCATGTGTTGGATTGAGTTTTGTTCATGTCTGAATATCCCAGGTAAGGCAAGGCAGGTCAGCGATCCTGCCGGGTGGTCTCAGCTCAAATACCCCCATTAGCCCTCACATTTCAGCACGGACTCGGCTGAGTCACGGAGAATTGGGACCTGTTGGGTTTGATGATGCTCTCAACATGATGTCAGCCCAGGAACAGGCTGCTGCAGGCTGAGACTGGAAATCTGCCGAATACAAATCACTTATCATCAGACCTGAGCTTATGCTGACACTGAACGCTCTTCAGTGGCTTCAACTGGTCTTGTTACACTTCCTTCACATCCTCAAAGGATTCAGTAATTTTTTTTCCAGTAGGAATGGAGACAAAAATCTCTCCTGACTTACCCAAATAGTCATCAAAAGAGAACTTGTCATTGTCCCAGATCTGGAAAATCAGCTGCGGTGGAATCTTGTTTTCTGTCTTGTCCAAGCTCCAGAAGTGCTCCTAAAATCACACCGGAAAAGAAACCAAGGAAAAATAAAATGCTCATTAGTAGAAGTGGGCAGAGCCTGGCCACTCTCATCTCACAGCAGCAGCAGTCCTGCAGCATAACGCTCACGGTGTGTCCTGCTCCAGTTCTGCCCTGGAAACCGGCCAGCCCTGGGACGAGGATGCTCAGTGGGAAAGCCAAGATGCTGCTGGAAGTTGGGTCGGTGTCAATTTGTGCATTAATTTAGTGACAATATTTTAGCGAACAGGCACCATGAGGTTGCAAAAAGGATCTTTTGGAGTGGCAGGGTCACATTCACGTGATTTAGATGACGATGACTCTCCAAGAAGACAGCAACAAGTGTTGAGTGCCAGTGCTGCCAAACTTCACCTTCCTCTTAATGAATGGAAAAAACATGGGAATAACAACCCCAACACATCCCTTCCCCTTCTGCCCATCTCTCCCCAGCTCTTCCAGCAGCCAAAGCCCTGCGCAAGGCTGGACCCACCACTTCTCCCATCTGCTGCCTGATCTGTCACAAGCACTTTGGGTTCAGCTGGTCAGCTCCAGACCAGCAAATATCTCTTCCATCCATAGGTAACATGTGCCTCCTTATCTACTGGAAATTTTTCCCTGTGCAGGTGGTGAGGCAGTGGCCCAGGGTGCCCAGAGAAGCTGTGGATGCCCCATCCCTGGAGGGGTTCAAGGCCAGGCTGGATGAGGCTTTGGGCAACCTGGGCTAGTGGGAGGTGTCCCTGCCCATGGCAGGGGGGGGGAACTGGATGATCTTGAAGGTCCCTTCCAACCCAAACCATTCTGTGATTCTATGATTCTATGAATATGAATATGTAGAGATTGGCAAGACACAGTTCACTGCCTGGTGGGTTCCTCACTTCTCACATGGCTTTGTTCATCTTTCCTGCACATCTCCCACGTTTTCATTCTCAGGCTGGGTGAATGCCAGACTTGGACATGGTATCCCAGTAAATCTGGTGCTAATGTTACACCAGGCAGCTGCCAAGCTGCATAACGTGCTTGCCATACCTATCACTGCATCCAAGTTCAAGAAAGGAGAGATTCAGAGCACCAACCAGCCATGAGGACCAGAGCCTGGCTCCCTGTGCAACCAAGCAAGAGGTGACACTGTGACACCTGATTTCAGCCCTTATCATGGGAGATTTGTCACTGTCTTTCTGCCCTTCTCATTTCTATTATTTTGTCAATATTTTGTCTATTCCCTGCCAATAAAGCTGTGTTGACAACCAGTGAAAAGGTTTTGCAGCCATCCCAGAAGCCTATTTGCAAAGCACCTGGAATGGAAATTACACCGTGAGCATCCCCTGAGATTTATCATCATTTCCCAAACCCTTGCACAGTGCAGGAGCTATCATCCATCGGTTCTGCACCCTGGCCACAGAAACAAGGAACAGCCACTTCCTGGGAGACAGCATCTGTACAGGATGCTCAGCAAGAGGGTGAGGCAGGGATCTCTGCTTTCTGGAGAACAGACTTCTCTAACAAGGAGGGGTTGAATTCCATCACTGTGACAATGAGCTTGCGGTCCCATCTTTATCATCTATGTGCCCACGCCACAAAATTTGCTATTTATGTGGTTCCAACCTGGAATATTTGGGATGCCACAAGATGCCTGAAAGTCAGGACTAAGAAGGGTTAGGACAGAAGGAGAGAGACAGAGATGGACGAAAGGCCAAGCTCTTGTTATTTCTGGCTCCAGCCAAGGCTTGCAAAGAGGAGGCAGAGTCACAACCGGTGTCCACCAATGGCGCAGGCTCCGAGGTGCATCCGGTGGGCAATGCCTCCTACCATGCTCTCGCAACATGGCAGTGTCATAAATGGAACAGATTTAATTAAAACCAGGAAACTTCAGCATTATTCATGACACATACATAGCACCATAAATTCACTGCGGTGGCTACAAGACTCTGATTCATTATATCGTGCAATATTAAAAAAAAAAGAGGGGGGGAAAAAAGAACGTGTCACACTCCATAAGAACATAAATATTCACACAGGGAGAGTGTAGGCATTTAAATCCCATTGAAACTGGTTTCACTTTAAGACATCACCCTGCACGGTTATATTTCAATTTAGCTCCCTGCTTTGGAAAAACACACCAGCATTTTTGCAATGGAGCATTTTATTTATGCATTTTAAATATTTCATAATCTAGAAAAATAAAATAAAGCCAATGGAAACTTCCATCTCTCCCCCTCTGCTCATTGCAATGTATTAAAATGTATGTTTAGCCAAGGGCGGGGGGCATGTTTTCCCAGCTAGTAAGTCATTTTAAATTAAAACTGCTAAAAAGGGAAAAACTTATGGTGACTCTCCTCTTTCCCATATATTGGTTGGGTCCTGCACTGCAGAAGGGTTGTTAGTCATGCAGAGGAGAAAGCCCCTAGGAGCCATGTACCCACACCTAAAGAAGGTGGCCAGATGACCTCACCATGGGTTGGGAAGGTTCATCTGGGGTCTGCAAGATGGAGGAAGACCATTAAACTGGAAGAGGGAAGATTTAGACTAGATATTAGAAGGAAATTCTTGCCTGTGCGGGTGGTGAGGCAGTGGCCCAGGTTGCCCAGAGAAGCTGTGGATGCCCCATCCCTGGAGGGGTTCAAGGCCAGGCTGGATGAGGCTTTGGGCAACCTGGGCTAGTGGGAGGTGTCCCTGCCCATGGCAGGGGGTGGGACTGGATGGTCTTGAAGGTCCCTTCCAACCCAAACCATCCTGCGATTCTATGACTCATGTGGTGGGCACCACAGTGAGACACCATGGGCTCCTTCCCATTGCCCCTTGCTGGGGCACCCTCATCTACGTTCGGCTGGGGAGAAGATGAAACATGTCCTACAGGTTCCTCTTCCTCTCCGGCGATAAAACATGTCCCTGACTCAGAGGCTGATGTCAATACATCTGCATTTGTCAGATGCGCCCATGCTCCAAGAGCATCGCTACGCTGCTGCCTGGGTTGATGCACCTCTCCAAGCCACGGTTTCGAGGTCCATGTTGGACCTTCTCCTTGCACCACCCCATCATCCCCCTAAAGTTGAACATAAGCAACACCTCACACCTGAGCAGCACCTCTGAAAGAGAGGAGAGGTGATGGTACTGCCAGCTGGAAGATCCAATCCCATGAGTGCCCTGATGGGGAAAGAGGAGGAACCAGGAAAAGGAGCAGGCTGTTGTAAGACCCAAATTACTGCCTCAGTCCCCGAGCTGCTGCAGGGACAGGAGGAGAACACCTTGGACCCAGCTCAGAGTCAGTGGGTGCTTCTGGTCATCTCCCACACAATAAAACACAACTGGAGAAGTGTCCCCCAGGACTGGCCACGCAACTGCTGAAAAACCTGCAGGACTTTGGGGTTCCACCTTCCCTCCTTCCCATTGCAATTCCCAAAGACTTGCCCACACTCAAAAAAACCAGAACCCATACCGTGGCCAAGCAGATGCTCGCTTCATTCCCCTGTCCCCCCAGCACCAATTCTAACCCCAGGATCAATGCCGGGGACTCCCTGCCCGGTGAAGGATGACTCAGGCAGGATTCGCCCCTTTCCCGGTGGCAATGTGGAGCTCGTACAACGCCAGCGCAATCCCTACAGCTTTGGCCTTTCTTGTGGAAAAACGCTGTAAATGTGGTTTGGCTGGTGGTGAAGCTCTCCTCCTCGGAGCCCCACGAAGCCGGGGACATGGCAGAGCTGGAAGGGCAGGCTGGGGAAGGAGGAATTTGATGCTGAGCTGAGTTTATGGGACCATTTCAAGGCAGTGTGAAATTTGCCTCCATGATTAAAATCTCGCTCCGAAGGTTCGCTATGAAAACAACCCACGGCAAGAAATTTATTTCCTAGCCTTTTCGCAAGACACGGGTAGGAAGCGGGCTTGAATTATTGTTTTGGGGTTCGTTCTGCAGCGTCGGGGGAGAGGGGAGGCTGGTGAATATTTTACGGTCATGAATAATGCAGCAGGGGAGGCAGGGGGAAAAAAATAAGCTCGTATCACTAGGAAAGTGTTGACAGGGCTGCATTTCTTCTGGGTCACTTATGTGCTACGGAATACAAAGTCAGGAGCAACCCCGCTATTTCAGGCAGGCTCTGGCGTGTTCGCACCCAAGCGAGCCCGGCTCATTTCAGCACGTGTATGTGGGAGAGCGTCAGGTCCCTCATCTCACAGCGACTGGGAAGCCCTGGCCACACAGGAGATCCCCCCGGAGGTCAGCCAAGAAAAGCCTCTTCTCCTGCAGGAGGCAGGACAAGCTGTCCTGTAGGGTCATCCTTCAAGGTGCTGAGAATCTGAACCTCATCCCATTGGGACATTTCATCCATCCGTAATAAGCAGACAGCTGACAGTGCTCATGATTGCACTTTTACAGGACTAACTCACCTCTTGGATCTCCCTGCCATTGCCAACTCTGACAATTGCATCGCAGGTCTCATGGCACTTGAGTTTCTGCATCCTTCCCCAATCAGGACTGCAGCTGGGCAACATCCCAAGCACGCAGCATCTGCTGCATGTTGGGCACAGCCTTGCCAATGCCTGGAGGAAGGCTCCAGGCATCATCACACCATAAATGTGAAATTGTCATAATGTTTGCCTTAGAATCATAGAATCACAGAATCATTAAGGTTGGAGAAGACCTCAAGGATCATCAAGTCAACCCAACAACCACCCAACTCACTAAACCATGTCCCGAAGCACCACATCTACAGCACTCCACCACTTCCTTTGGGGCACATACTCGTATTTTGGTCCCTGAACTCACTGCAATGCTATTTTCTCAGCCTCTGTCAGAGTTTATCAGGCTTTTCCAGGGACATGGAGCCATCCCTCTGCCATTTAAGGAGCTCCAAGCCTTGGGGTGCCCATCCTGGCCAGTTTGTGACCAGCACCTTCAGTTCTCGACACAGCCATGCTTTGCTCATCCCTCTCCATATATCCATCAGAAAGCAAAATTCAGAACAGTAAATTGTGTTAAAATGTCTCAGAGGCTGCTGGTGCATCC